TGAACCTTCTGATGCCCCCTGGTATTTCTGGCCACTGTGTGACACAGAGTGTTGGACTGGATGGGCCATTGGCCTAATCCAACATTGGCTTATCTTATGTTCTTATGAAAGAATGCAATGTTGTCCCCCCCCTCGCTCTTTGAAGGGCAGGACCCACGCTACCACTTCCCCTCTTGTATCCTATGCGTAGACTAAACTTCAGAAGAATCTGGTTTACAATTGTGGATGGAACTTGGTGCAATAATAATAATTAACACTGATCACCTTTATAGTTTCTTGTTCTTTTAAAGGTGTCCCTCAACAGTATAAATGTCGAGCACTGCTCTTTAAAATGCAATGTAAAGATATCCGAACTCTCTTAGGACTGAGATCCTTTTTGGGAGATCAATCCGTTAGCCCAAATCCGTCTTATGTACGACGTGGGCTCGTGGGTTCTTTTAACCAGTGTATACAGAGAGCAGAATCAGAACGGAGACTCCTTTTCCCCCAAGAAAGAGACAACACGACTGAGTGTTTATAAAATAAGTTGTTCTCTTTAGTGAATAATAGTTGAATTCACAGGCATACACAAACAGATTCACTCACACACACTCACAAGTTCCTTTAGATGCAATAGGAATGGAAAGCAATCAGTGTAGAAAATAATAACCTTTAACTAATTGGATGGGAACACAGAAAAGGGTAACGGTTATACTTATCTGATCCAGAAGAGAGTTTGACCTTCTCAATGAAGAATGCGGGAACAAAAGATCTAACTAGAGGGATTCTACTGACGCCAGCACAATACAAATAAAATACAATTATAAGCACATCCCTTAACAACTCATACACCAAAAATCTCATTGGTTGCTTAGGTGCTACTGGGTTCAAATCCTGATTAGATTCACACTTCTAAAACAAGGCTACATTTAGACTGTGTCATGAACTGGCTTGATAGGGAGGTTCAAGTCCTGTAGCACCTTGGAGCCCAACACGGTTTGTGCTGCATGAGCTTTTCAGAGTTTGAGGAAGGAAACTTGGATTCTTGGAAGCTCATACCCCCCAAAAGTCTTCTTGGTCTTTAAGGTGCTATTGGGCTACAATCCAGCTGTTCTCTGCATGATGCACCTCTCACTCTAGAAGTTTTTTGCAGGCTCATCTCAAAGTCCACCTTCTCCGTTGATTTTTACAGAGTTAACGCACCCAGACAGGCAGATATGGAAGTTAAGACTTCTGCCTAAGGTGTAATACCGGATCCGTATGTGGCCATTCACCATATGGGGCATAGCAGCTGAGCAACCCAGAGACGGAGGGAGGGGAAGATGGGAAACTGGATGTTAGTGTGGCCTGGGATCTTGGTCCAGCTGTTCTCTCACTGTTTGGCTGGGGAAGCGTATTCCTTACCCAGGGCCTTGCCCAGGGCCTTCTTCACATCCTCGTTGCGGAAACTGTAGATGAGAGGGTTCAGAAGGGGTGTGAGGACACAGTAGAGTGTGGAGATCAGGGTGTCGATCTCCAAGGAGTAGCCAGCACTGGGGCGGTTGTAGTTCAGATTGATCATCCCAAAGTAGATTATTACCACCACCACGTGGGAAGCACACGTGGAGAAGGCCTTGCGCCGGCCAGTGTTGGAACGGATCCGCAGGATTGTAGACACGATGTAGACGTACGAGACAACGACAAGTAGGAATGGACTGAAGCCCACAAAGATGCTGGCTGTGTGAAGGACCATCTCATTGATGTAGGTGTCACTGCAGGCGATTTTAAGGAGCGGTGGAACATCACAGAATATGTGGTTGATCTGGTTGGCCCCACAGAAGGACACATTGGTGGTCAGGGCAGTGTGAATGGCCGAGTCCACTAAGCCCCAGAGCCATGAAAAAATGGCCAGAGGGACACGGACCTGGCTGCTCATGAGATTACTGTAGTGCAGTGGTTGGCAAATGGCAGCATAGCGGTCATAGGCCATGACGGCCAGCAAGGCGGACTCTGTTCCTGTAAAGGTCATCAGGAAGAACATCTGGGCCATGCACTGGTTGTATGAAATGGCTGCTTTCTGGCTCAAGAAGTTTGCCAGGATCTTGGGAACAGTGACGGATAAGTTGCAAATATCCAAGCAGGACAGGTGGCTGAGGAAAAAGTACATGGGGGTGTGAAGGCGGGAGTCCAGCTGGATCAGGGTGAGTATCGTGGTGTTCCCAATTACGGTAGCCAAGTAGATTGCTAAGAAGACCAGAAATAGGAAGGTGTGGCCCCTTGTGATTCCAGAGAAGCCGAGGAAGATGAATTCCATCACCTGCGTTTCGTTACCACCTGCCACGGGCTCCACATTGGCCATCTGGAAGGAAAGGGCCAGGAAGGAATAGAAATTAATAGAGAAGTGAAATATCTAGGGATAAGGATTTCAAATAACACTTCAACGTTATATGAACGCAATTACGTACAACTTTTAAAAGATATAAAGAGAGACTTAAACTATTGGGATAAATTACATCTCTCATTACTGGGCAGAATAGCGACTATAAAAATGAACATTCTTCCAAGGTTCCTATTTCTTGCACAAAACTTACCAGTACTTAAAAACTATAAATTTCTTAAGGAGATAGAGAAATCTGTAGGAAAATTCATATGGCAATCGAAAAAAACGAGAATAAAAACAAAAGATCTCCAGGACAGTAAAAAAAAGAGGAGGTTTTGCATTACCTAACTGGCAACTCTATTATCTAGCAGCGTCAATGATCTGGATTAAAGAGTGGGTGGAGCTGGATGATAAAAGAACACTAGCTTTAGAAGGATCAGATCTTGCAATGGGTTGGCATACGTACCTATGGTATGGAAAAGATAAAATTCACTCTAATTTCCATACATACATACATTCTTGTAGACGGATGCACTGTATTACGTTGTATTGTGCTTTAATTTAAAATTAATAAAAATGATTACAAAAAAAAAGAAGTTCCCTTATGAAAGTTTGGAACTTAATAAAAAACAAAAATTACATGAAAATACCGATGTGGGTCTCCCCGATACAGGCATTTACCAAGCTGTCACTAATAACAGGGAACATTAAAGTAACATACGGCAAACTATTAGATTAAAAAGCCGAGTTAAAATCAGAGGAGGTATTAAAAAAGCAAAACATAAATTTATCCTGGTGGGAAAAAAATGTATTAAAATCAAGATATAATGAAGACAAAAAAGTAGGATTTTACACCAGTTTAAATGAAATTGATAAAATCTGGCTTTCCTCCAGTGATAAACTAATTCAGAAATTTTATACAAAATTGTTAAAGGAGGAATTACTTGAAGAGACCATAAAAACACCGATGATAGCCTGGATAAAAGGGATTGGCCCTACAATAGAAATGGATCAGTGGATAAAAACATGGAGATCAATACAATTTATGAGTGCGACTCCATATAAAGAAAACATATACAAAATGTTTTTTAGATGGCATTGGACGCCGGCAAAAATTGCTAAGTGTTTCCCGAAAGCATCAAATCTTTGTTGGAGATGCAGAAGGAACATAGGATCATACATACACATATGGTGGAGGTGCGAAAAAATACAAACCTTTTGAAAAAAGATAAATAAAATCATTTCAGATATACTTAGAATCAATTTGCCGTTAACACCAGAAACATACCTATTAAACATGATTCCGGAAACAATAAAAGGCCACACACATATAATAGTATATTTAATAACAGCAGCAAGAATTCTAATTGCAAAGTGTTGGAAGTCAAAAAAACATACCATCTGTAAGAGAACTCAAGTATAAAATACAAGAAATAGCAGAAATGGACAAACTGAGTATAGAACTTCAAAACAAGCCAGAGGAACTTTTCTGGGATAGATGGGGAATTATCTATACTTGGCTGAAGGTGAAGAAGATATAACAGAATTGACTATTGGCTAGTAAAAGTCAATCTCTCCCTTATAATAATCCAGTAGTGGGTGCCAAAATTCTAAAATGCGCCCCTTTAGTGTATGGATGGAAAAATTGCCACTCAGAAGACGCTGGCTGCGATGACTGGCTCCCTCAGCGAACCTGGCCTGCCATTGGCTGTGTGGCTGGGAGGGGAGGGAGCCAGTCATGCAGCCAATGAAGCGCACCGGAAGCCGGCTGCAAGGAATAACACCCGCTTCACCCGCTGTTGTGTCGGATCACGCAGCAGTGGGTCAAATTACCGCAGCACGAATAGGCTCCACCACCCCCCGTATTTTCTGGCACGTGTGACCGGGACCCACTGAATAACAAAGAAAACTAAGTAGAAGCGGCTGATGATAAGAATGCCATGAATTACACAGTTGAACTTACTGCAACAACTTACTGTTGAGTACCACACACGGAGGGGCTTTGGCACAGTGGAAGGACATCTGTTTAACACGCAGAAGGAGACAGGGTTCATCCTTTTGTCCTTTTGTCATTTTTAGGGTTCAATCCCTGGCATCTCCAGTTAAGGATCAGGTAGCAGGTGATGTGAAACACTTGACCTGAGAACTTGGAGAGTCGCTGCCAGACTGAGTAGACGATACCAACCTAGATGGACCAAGGGTCTGATTCAGTATAAGGCAGTTTCGTGTGTTCAAACTCTTCGGGCACTTACCCAACAGGTTCATGTCATGTTTTTTGCAAAACTGCATGGAAATGCTGCTGATCCAAACAGATCAGCAGCCATTGGCGTCACGAAGGACTACATGAAAACCAAATGGTGGGACTTTTCTTAAGCACAGTGTTTATTTATGACTGATTCCTATGATTTGTGACTGCTTTAATTCTCTGTTTAAACAATTGCCTGCCAGGCAGAGCAGGGGCTGAACAAGGGGAGGGATTTAGATAGGCTGGTAGATAGTGCTGGGGAGGAGCCAGTGGTCGTGGTGCATGTCGGCACCAACGATGTGGGGAAATGCAGTCGTGAGGTCCTGGAGGAGAAATTTAGGCTGCTGGGCAGGAAACTCAAGGCCAGGACCTCCAAGGTAGCCTTCTCAGAAGTGCTACCTGTTCCACGCGCAGGGCCGGAGAGACAGGCACAGATCAGGAGTCTCAATGCGTGGATGAGACGATGGTGTAGAGGGGAAGGGTTCAGGTTTGTTAGGCACTGGGATTCTTTTTGGAACAAGAGGGAGCTGTACAGGCGAGACGGTCTCCACTTGTCCCGAGAAGGAACCAGGCTGCTGGCGCTTAAAATCAAAAAGGTGGCAGAGCAGTTTTTAAACTGAATATTGGGGGAAAGCCGACAGGAGATGAAAAGTCTCTGGTTCGGGTTGGCTCATCTCAGAGAGATGAGGGGGTACCTGTTGCTTTTCTACAGGGAGGTGGATTGAAATTGTCCACTGAGACCATGGCTAGTGACATGGACTGCCTGACAAGGTCTCGAGATTGCAAGAGGAAGGTGGCAGGCTTAACCAGTATGGGAAATTACAGCTGTTTCTATACAAATGCTCGAAGTGTCCGAGGTAAAATCGGGGAGTTGGAGTGCTTGGTGTCAGAGGGAAAAATAGACATTGTGGGTATTTCAGAAACTTGGTGGGATGAGGAAAATCAGTGGGATACGGTGATTCCCGGTTATATATTATATCGGAAGGATAGGGGGGGAAGGGTTGGAGGTGGGGTGGCTCTGTATGTCAGAGAGGGTATAAAGTCCAGAAAGATCGAGAGGCTAAGAGAATTGGATTCGCTTCTTGAAGTTCTGTGGGTTGAAATAGGGGGGCCAAAAGGAAACTTAACACTGGGAGTTTGTTATCGCCCACCGGATCAAAAGATAGAGGAGGATTATAAAATGATGAATGAATTAAAGATAGCAGCTAGACAAAAACACTGTGTCGTAATAGGTGATTTTAACTACCCACACATTGATTGGGTCAATATGTGTTCTAGTCGAGAGAAAGAGATTGAGTTTCTAGACACTCTAAATGACTGTGCTATGGAGCAGATGGTCATGGAACCTACCAGGGGAGAGGCGATCCTTGATTTGGTCCTAAGTAACACTCAAGACCTGGTGAGAGATGTAAAAGTGATTGCACCGCTTGGGAACAGTGATCATAATGTTGTTGAGTTCAACATTTGTACAAATAGGGAATTGGCCAAAAAGACTCACACAACCACTTTTAACTTTAAAAGGGGTAATTTTTCTGATATGAGGGGACATGTGGGGAGGAAACTGAAGGGAAAAGTAGAAAGGGTCAAAACCATTGGGGAAGCTTGGAAACTGTTTAAAACTACAATTCTAGAAGCTCAAATAAAATATATTCCGCAGGTTAGGAAAGGCACAAACAGGTATAAGAAAAAGCCTACATGGTTAACAAACAAAGTAATGGAAGCTGTAAAAGGTAAAAAGGATTCCTTTAAGCGGTGGAAAGCTAGTCACAGTGAGGCTGATAAAACAGAACACAGGCTATGGCAAATAAAATGCAAGTCTGTGGTCAGGCATGCAAAAAGGGAATATGAGGAGCATATAGCAAAAAATGTAAAGACCAACAATAAAACTTTCTTCAAATACATTAGAAACAGGAAACCAGCCAGGGAGGCAGTGGGGCCCTTGGATGACCAAGGGGTAAAAGGAGTACTGAAGGATGATAGGGAAATGGCTGAGAAGCTAAATGCATTTTTTGCCTCCGTCTTCACTGTGGAAGATGAGAGGTGCTTGCCCACTCCAGAGCCGCTGAGTTCGGGAGGGGTGTTGAAAGACCTGAGTCAGATTGAGGTGACGAGAGAGGAGGTCCTAAAACTGATAAACAACTTAAAAACTGATAAATCACCAGGCCCAGATGGCATACATCCAAGAGTTCTGAAAGAACTCAATTGTGAACTTGTGGATCTCCTGACAAAAATATGTAATCTCTCCTTAAAATCAGCCTCCATTCCTGAGGACTGGAAGGTAGCTAATGTCACTCCCATCTTTAAAAAGGGTTCCAGAGGAGATCCGGGAAATTACAGGCCAGTCAGTCTGACGTCGATACCGGGTAAATTGGTGGAAACCATTATTAAGGAAAGAATTAGTAGGCACATAGATGAACAAAACCTATTGAGGCAGACTCAACATGGGTTCTGTAAGGGAAGATCTTGTCTCACTAACCTGTTAATGTTCTTTGAGGGGGTGAACAAACATGTGGACAAGGGGGATCCAATAGATATTGTTTACCTTGACTTCCAGAAAGCTTTTGATAAAGTTCCTCATCAAAGGCTCCTAAGCAAGCTCAAAAATCATGGGATAAAAGGACAAGTCCTTTTATGGATCAAAAACTGGCTAATTAATAGAAAACAGAGAGTGAGTATAAATGGGCAGTTCTCCCAGTGGAGGGGTGTAAGCAGTGGGGTACCACAGGGATCAGTA